GGGGGGGGGGGGGGGGGGGGGGGGGGGGGGGGGGGGGGGTCAGTGTCGCCCTTCAGGCGTAAGAGGGATGCTTACTCGCTGCATCTCGAGGACGAGCTCATAGATAGCTCGGGCCTCAGGAGTGAACTTACCGCCATTGCCTACCGGCATGGTGCGAGTGACTAGGTCAAACCCATGAATACATAAGCGACAGGAATGTACAATTCAAGACCTACTATCCGATGCGTGGCAATCCCATTCACAACCGGCGTCGATAAGCAAGACTTGAGGATGCAGTTGTCTGGTGTCATCGTGTGCCAGGTAGTTCCCGTTCTCGTGAGCGTGAGGTGCTACAGGACCCCAGGCGAACTCTCGGTCGTTGCAACAGTAATGCAGCGTGGATGCGCGAGTCGAAGCGGCGACAATCGGTAGGTACGCCTGATGAACGGCACTGCCCGCGCATCAGTTTCGCCGTCGCACCAAGACGGTGTTCGTGAACACACCCTTCGCGCCGACAGGAGGCAACAAAGAGCGCCTCGGCCTCGGCCTCCTTCTCAATCAACCACTCACCAGGGAGTAGCGGTCGATCCACACCCGCACCCTTGCCTTGTGTAATCAAGCCTCGAACACCCTGACCAAGAACACGCATGACAACTTCATGCGCCCGCGAACTGATCGCGTTGGCTTGCCTAATCGCCGCAATTTCATCCGTATCCTTGATGAGCCGTGCTCGATGGAGCGCCGTCAGGAGATACTCATCCGTGGCGTTCGCGTTCGGCGGGAGTACAAGGGCCGTGTATTGTGCAGGCAGCGAAGGGAATAGGGGAGAGCCTGCAGGCAGGATGTGGAATGTTGCACCTGCGTAGGCCTTCATCTGCTCCTTAATCGCGTTTGTGAGCTCGGCGAGGTGCTCGACGCGAGTCACCTGGTATGCAGCCGATGCCTCTTGGACAGTAGGCGGAGGGACAGACCAAAGTAGGTCTGCGAGTTCAGCTTTCGGGATAAAGAGCTGTATGAGAGGGTTGTTCTCGAGCGACGTCCCGCTCTGGTACGTCAGGAGAAGATACGCGGAGGGAATGGAGCACCCTGAGAGGTAAAAGAAGTTCGATTCCTGGAACAAGGTCAAGAAATGGGACTTGCAAGATATGAGGATGGACTAGACCTGCCGAAACACCATCTCGCGATCCGTGTCATGTCTGAAGGGCGTAACGGCGCCGGCTAACAGGATGATATGAGGCTATTGTCGATGAGTAAATGATCAAGACCTAAGACAAGACTCAAGTGCTATACCTTAGTTTGCTGAGGGACAGGCAGTTCCTCTATGAGCTTGCCAAACGTCTTGATGGCATGCGCCTGGGCTACTGAAAGTCAGTTCCCTATTGCTACGTACCACCAGCTCTGTCCTACCGGGATACATGTTGCAATGATTGGGTACAAGAACACAATAATGCACTTGTGAGAGAGGAAGCGTTATGATTGTCCGGAACCAAGATGATTGATTTCAGTGTATCCGACCTTCAGGCGCGCTTGTCGAGTCGTGACCTACTTGCCGACGTCCACGACAAATTCAAGACTACACGGAAAATCGCCTACCTCGTTTGCAATGGCATCCGCGTCGACGTCTTTGTCAAAGGCCGAGAAATCCTATATCCATTCCTCATTGTGCTCAAGTCCGCCATTACGCGCCGACGGCCGCTCTCTGTTTGACTTCCGAACGGTCTTGCTCGAGACTGGCGTCGCGCCGTTGGCAAATGGCAGTGCAAAGCTCAATATTGGGAAGCAACCTCACGAAGGTGGTGGGGGGACTGAAGTCGTCGCGGCGACGAAGCTCGAGGTCGAGGACATTGAAAACGGCGATGGAGTCGAGGGTGGCAGAATTATCTGTTCAGTAATATGGTGCGTACGCTCTTCACTTTTAGTAAAACGATTCGGATGTTGTTCCAGAACTGGGGTCGGTTTCTGTTTACCATGTAGCTGATGGATGCAAAGACAGTTCTCCCTCCGCCTACCCACACCTCTCGTCCAACGCCCTCGATGAGCTACAGTACGATTTGACCACCATCCTTCACCAAACGCTCTCGGACTCGTCTTTACACCCACCAAATTTGGGCATTCTTCCAAACAAAAAGTCCTGGCTGCTATGTATCGATGTTGCTGTCCTCGCAGACGCGGGTAATGTGTTTGACGCGATTTTCATGGCTTCTCGCGCCGCGCTCTGGGATACGAAAGTACCACGAACGCGACCCATTGAGTATCAAGCGAGGGGTCTAGCACCGTCGGGCGCAGCGGACGTGGAGATGGACACAGAGTCTGGACAACAGGCGCAGAAGAGCAGCTTCGACACACGCGACATGATCAAGACGGCGGCAGATTTTGAACTTCCGGACTACTGGGACGAAGGAGAGGTGCTTGGTGGGCGAGAACAATGGCCTGTCTGCGTGACGCTGAATATTGTGCGTACATCCATGATAACTTTGCACCAATGTGGACTTGAGATTCATCCCGAATACAGTTGCCTCCGATGCATTATCTTGATGCGACTCCTTCGGAAGAAGCATCCACACCACTGAGGCTCCTGCTTGCATTCTCCTTTCCCCCAGATTCACCCGCTGTTCTGCAAGCTATGCGATTGCTGGGCCCAGGAGAGTTGACAGTCGCTCAACTGAAAGCTTTCACAGCGGTACGTTGGTCAGCATCCAGCTATTTCCAGGGCTAAGGGGGGTCTGTCCGCGCAGGATGGAGAAAAGTATGCCCGCGAGCTGTTCGCCGCATTAGAAGGCAAGTTACGCGAGGAAGATCTACGAAGGAATGTCAAGGCCAGAGACAGATTTGCTGCCCGATGATCCGTGCTGCCATTGTAAAGTCACAGAAAAGTACACAACAGGAAACGACATAATGCAGCTCCCTGGGCGAGAGCGGCGTCTCAGGCGGTGTTGATCTGAGGCGCGTGAGCCCTCAGCACCTTGTTGAGCCCCTCCCTCCCCATGCAGTTCTCGAACTTGAAGCTCTCTGCAATCTTCTCCAATTCGGGCTCGTCCATGCCCCGGAAGTGTTTCGCCCACTCCTTCACCATGAACTCGCTCACCAGAATGTTTCTCGCAAGTACCTCGACGCGCCGCTCAAGTGTCCAGATAGGGTACGGGTACAGTCGCTGATCGCCTTCGTTCGGTACGTCTTCCTTTATGAGGTTGACGAGCGGCTCGTAAACGTGCCGCACGAAGCGGTCGTCTGCGCCCCACGCGTCAATTGCAAGGCGGTACTTCTTGTGCAGGAAGTCTTTGAAGAGCCGCATATAGGCGGTCTCACGCGAGACGTAGACCATGCCTTGGAAGCCGATATCCTTGTACAGCCAGATTGACCAGCTGAGACGATCCTGTGCGTAGAGGGTCGTCTCAGAAGGCATCATACAGGCACCACTCCCAACTGACCTCGCGATACATCTCGAGCTGGTCGTTCAGGACCATGTACCGTCTTTCGTTAGTTTCTTCTGTCGCTTCTCCATCATATTCTTTCCGCGCATACACCGGGCCCCATTCGCCATTCCATACACAGAGGCCGCGCCGGTCCAGCCACTCGCGCTTTTTCTCATAGCTCCGGCGCATACGGCGGCGCTGCTCGTCCGTCCGTGCGTATGCCTCTGGAGACCTGGGAAATCCGTAGAGCGAATAGTCATGTATCGCATACGCAGCGTTGGGCCATCGCGCCGCTGCGTCATCGGGGAAACCGGTAAAGTCGGACGCGAAAGTGTTGCCGTCGAGGAAGAGCATGTGGTTCGGGTCGACGGACTGGATGGCCGCATATACCCGGTCGTAGAAGTCGACCAGACCCATGTGTCGCGAGTCGGCGGGCTCGTTCATTGGATTGTAGCCTGCGATCCACTAGGCGGAGTGTCAGTCATCGTTTCAGCACAGTATGTATCATTGTCTCCTCGACCTTCTCATCTTTGTAATGCTTTGCGACCTCTGTCCACAGCCAGATGAGCCTATCCTGGAAATCCTTGTGGATCCAAAAAGAGGCGATGTGCGATCCATGGTCTGAATGCCACCCGCCGTTCTGCCCGCCAGGCGCGGTATGCATATCAAGGATGGTATAGATCCCGTGCTTTGCGCATGCCGCGATGGCACGATCGAGGTGCTTGAAACCCTCCGGCTTCAGCACGCACGGATTCATGTCATCCTCGAAGTGACGGTAGTTGATCGCGATGCGGATACAGTTGAGGCCGAGCGATTTGAAGAATGCCGCGTCTGGCTCGGCGAAGAAGTGCTCAAGGAACTAAAAAGCACCGTTAACATTGATGTGAACTACGCGTACTGCTCTTCGCTGACTGGCACGGGCGTACCTTGTCGAAGAAGAAAGTAGCTTTCTTATCTCCCACGACTTCCGCGAGCGCTGCTCGAATCTGGAATTCACAGCCAGGATAGCCTACAGCAATGCGTCTGCGCGTTGTTCTCTCGTAAGTACACCTCGGACATACCGGTAATGAAGTTCTCCATCCTATTTGTATTTACTGAGCTTCCTCGATAGACACAGATCATTGCATTATAGACTCACGTCATCCAGCCACCCAAACCCGCCCCTCTGAGTATCACCTCCTTGCCATCACTGTCGACAATTCTGGCTCCATCGACTTGTAGGAAACTGACCATGATTACAGTTCCGGCACTCGAGACGGTCTCTTGATTTCTGGCATCATGTGCCGAGGAACTTATAGTTTGTCCTCACTGTGACATACAAGCAGCAGCTGAGCAGACATGTGCCGCGAGCTGTGTAACATCTTCGGAAAAAGGTGCTAGTCCCGGTGAACAAAACAGTGAATGTCAGTCACCAGGAACAGAATTGGCGCGCTAATTATGCCATCAACAAGTCCATATTTGGGCTTAACACAAGTATGCAAGAAATCTATCCGCCGATTGGCCAGACCTCCAGATCCCCACTCCATCTCCACGGTCATCTGTTTGTCTTCTTTTCTTACGCCACCTGCTTCCGACGCTCTGGCCTCTTCAACCCTGCAGACCGGGCAGAATATGGGGTAATTCAAATGGCGAAGAGTGCCTAAGCGGGATAACTTCGGAAGGGACCAGCAACACGGACCGCTAACCTCCGCCCAATGCAGGCCGGAGCGCATCTCGTGCGCCATCGTGATCCAGCCCCGTACCTGTACTTCCAGGGTTTAAAGGGCGCAGGGTCGATGGCCCTTGGTATCTCAAACCGTCCAACATGGCGTACTTGAGGGTGTCCGGAACTAAGATTGTCGACCAGAATGGTAAGGAGGTCATTCTTCGCGGAGCGGGACTCGGAGGATGGATGAAGTGAGTATTCTTAGTTCTCGACCAGATATCGCCGCCTGATGTGTATCTCACCAGCATGGAGAATTTCATCTCCGGTCAGCACACATCACATCCGTACTGAAGGTGTAAATGAATCGGTCCCACAGGATACCCCGGTATTGAGTCCCAGATTCGTGCTGCGCTAGCGGATGTGGTCGGAAAAGCGAAGTCTGAATTCTTTTTTGATAAGGTCTACTCCCTCCAGATTTCACGACGCGACAGCGACTAACCAGTCATCCCTCTAGTTCCTGGAATATTTCTTCCAGGATGCGGATGCGGCCTTTTTCAAAAGTTTAGGACTTAACTCCATTCGCATTTCTGTGAATTACAGGCATTTTGAAGGTACGCTGATCATCTCTGAAATTAGCATGTCGATCGGCTGATTGCTTCAAGATGACATGCATCCGCGCGTGCTCAAGCCCGAGGGTTTCAAGCATTTGGACCGCGTCATTGACCTCTGCGCCAAGCATGGCATCTACACAATTCTTGTTCTGCATACTGCTCCGGGAGGACAGAACGGCGACTGGCACTCAGACGCCGGGACGCACATCGCGAACTTCTGGAATCACAAAGACTTCCAGGACCGCGCAATCTGGCTCTGGGAACAATTATCAAAACACTACGCAGGCAACACTTGGGTCGCCGGCTTCAACCCCCTTAACGAACCGACGGATCCCTACCATACTCGCGTCGTTGACTGGTACGACAGAGTGTACACCGTAATTCGGCAGAACGACCCACACCATATCTTGTTCTTTGACGGGAACACGTTCGCGTCTGATTTCTCGCACTTCGGTGACGCCCACTTGCGGTGGAAGAACTCGGCGTATGCAATCCATGACTACAGTCTTTTCGGCTTCCCAAGGTCGCCCGAAGAATACACAGGCGACGAGACGCAACGTAGACGTTTGCGCAGGAGCTACGAGAAGAAGAGAGAGTGGATGGACGCGCATGGATTGTGTGTATGGAATGGCGAATGGGGCCCAGTATATGCACGTACGGAGTACGAGGGCGCAAAGACCGAAGCCATCAATCAAGAGCGCTTCAAGGTGCTTAAAGACCAACTCGACATCTATAACAAGGTATGGCCCATACTCGTATGCCAGTAAGTTGTATCAGCTCACGATCGTGCTCAGGATCGCCTGTCCTGGTCGATCTGGTTATACAAGGACATCGGCTTCCAGGGCATGGTATACGTCTCCCGCGAGACGCCGTACATGAAGTTGTTCAAGGACTTCCTTGCGCAAAAGCACCGCCTGGCACTTGACGCATGGGGCGCCGACGACTCTCAGGTTCGGCCCGTGTACCAGCCACTTATCGACCTCATCACTACAGAGGTGCCACCTGAACACCAGAACCTTTACCCATTCCCAGTATGGAAGCTGTCCGACCGCGTCGGCCGCCTGGCACGCAACATCTTGTTGTCCGAGTTCTTCGTACGCCCGTGGGCGGAGCATTTCCGGGGCAAGAGCGTCGAGGAGTTGGACGAGATTGCGCGAAGCTTTAGCTTCGAGAATTGTCTGCACCGAGACAGGCTGAACGAGATTCTCACCGATAATGCAAGTTTGGTAGCAGAGTAAAACAACGTGTACAATGCACTCCGAAATACAAACCTATTTTTGGTGGAGACGGAAGATGCGACGCTATTCAATATTGATGGCATGCACTTAGCATCGCGTCTCATTTCACAAGTGCATTCCAAGGTTATAGTTATAACATCTTACGTGACTCGACTTCAAACCTGGGCTTTCAGTCCCGCCTCCAGTAACTCCAGAGCCCTGTCTCGATCATCCATGATCGACGAGGTTCCCGCCCAAGTTATAAGATCATCAAGCTTCTTTCCAATTGCTTCGAGTTGCCTGGTGGATATGGCGCCTTGTGCACTTGCTCCTTCCGTCACATTCTCAATTCCAGGGCAGTGCAGGTCATAGTGTATACCAGTGAGTCGTGACTTTTCGACGATCTGCTGCGAGAATGGCCGACGAATTTCGTCATAGATAAGCAAAGCGTTGGCAAGCGTTTCCTTTGTGACGGAAGGGTGCCCAAGAATAGTGGCTAGGATGAAAGCATCCTATGGACGCATTCTATGGCATGAGCATCAGGAGGTGTGGTCATGTCCGGTGCATACCTCTGCGGCTTGGCCGGCTCCAGACCCTTGGTGAGGCTCCATAGCATGTGCCTTGAGCATCACAATCAATACCTTGCGTTAGCTTGACTGGTAATCAATTCATTATGCTCACGGCGTCACCGACAAGCGCCACTCGTGATCCAGCATACGTATGCAGCGACGGGAGCGTATTGATCACCCAAGCAGATACCTTGTCTAGGCACTATCCATCACGTCCCTTGGTCAGCAACAATAATCTTAGCGCGCCTCATATAATTGATGATCACGCACGTTGAACAATATCTGAACGTCGGGTTCCCAATTAGAAAATAGGGCAGCCAGCTCCTCCTTCCCCGATTCACGAACCCATGGCTCAGGATAGATAGCACCTTGCGACTTGAAGTCCGCCACAAATGCGACGATATTGATGAAGTGTTCCTGAGACACAGGATAAATGACTATATGCTGGATGCCGCAGCTGCCAGTCAACCCGATGTTGCACTGAAATTGCAAGAAGTTCTACCTTGTTCTTTCCGAAACACTGTGAGAGGGGCTTGTCAGTGCGGCCGGCGTGTAAAGAAATATAACATACCAGCAAGCTCCTCGTCAATGCCGGATGTCCTGGACAGGCTGCTTCCAGACGGTCCCTTGGGAAAAGAGCACGATAGGCAATATAGCCACTCCATTGCGGTATAGCCTCCCTGCGGAAGCAAGCAGCTTGGGCAATGTCACCTGCTAACTCGGCTTCCTTGACCAGAGAGTGGTAGAGAACAGAACGGACAGCGGATTTGATGCCATCGCATCCTACTAGGATGTCGCAGGCAGCCGTCGAGCCGTCGAGGAACTCGAGGACCATTTCTCCGGATGGCGTCTCCGTGTAAGACTTGAGTCTCTTGGAAAAATAGATATTATAGCTTTGCGGTAAATGCCGGACGAGGGCAGCCTGGAACTCTGCCCTGTGAAACGAGGTAAAACGAACTGCGATGGTGAGAATATCTCTATCACGGTCTGACCTGTTTGAGAAATTAACCTACTTCTTTGTGTATTTCCATGGAAATCTATTCCCTCGGTTTGATCTGCTTTGCGGTATTCAAGTACACGGGCTGTGGGACTTCGATGTCAACACCAGGCACATAGATTGTGTCCAACGAACTACACACTTCTAGTCTGTTCACTATCTGAGGCTATAGCCAACAGATCGTCTCGTAAGCCGAGCTCTTGATAAATCTCCCAAACACGGGGCCATACTCCGATGCCAGCTCCGACCTCTGTAAAAGCGGCGGCCGATTCGTACAGGTCGACAACGACGTTCTTGCTGTTCTTATTGAGCGAGACAGCGAAAGTCAATCCACCTATGCCTCCGCCACTATCAAGGCTGTCAACAGACGCCACTCGACAGGAACGCCCACTCACATTATAGCAACTCTGAATTTCGCGCTGCTGTTCATAGTGAGTTCGTGGTCTGTACACTGGTAGAGTAGCGCGAGAGGACGTCCTACAAGCTCCAGAGAGTGGTCTCTTATATATGACGAGCAGTCATGAGACGGGTCCTCCTAATCCCGAGTATTATCAGCACGAAGGTAACGTACATCGCGTGTAGGCCTGTTTCAAACGCCGCAGAGATAGACACGTCATCATCGAATTGGATTACATGTGATCTCACATTTAATCGAACCCACAACAAAGTCCCGTGCAGATTGCTCCACTTAGGATTGAACAATGGACAACATCTGGAATTCAGCCCTTCCGACTTGCGAAACGGCAGATAAACGGAATGAAACATATAGCTGTCATATATTGCACATACTGTCCGACTAAGGCATCCGTAGCGGTCAGAATTACGTCCACGGCCGAAAGCCACCGCTGTGCCTATCCAGGCCATCAATCGTACCGCATTGATGAATTTGTGACAGAATGCGCTCCGGTGCAAGATGAAAGTGCCATAGATCCCCAGGTAGGAACCACGTGGTACTGTCGACGTTCTTCTGACATGGCGCAAGTTGTTCCGAGATATCAACTCATATGCTTACCTTCACTTTCCCGTGGGTTCCAGCGGCCGACAATGCATTGGCGACGCTTTCATTCCCCTCGGTCCAGCTCCCACCATCAAAACGGACCGTTAGCCTAGCAACGCGGTAAGCGCATGAGTAGCTCGGGCCATCCATATACCGCTCCGCACCTTTCGCAAGTACCGTTTTATTGACTGCCGGATATGTGCCGCCTTGGTAATCTACCTGTATGACCGATGTCTATGATTGAGACATGATACGGCGCCACGAACTCGGACGTACTCACTCGGCAGAAGCGCTCTCGCTTGGAATATTCAGCCATATTCATTTGTGTATGATATTACCACGAGGACGACGCTCACCGTATCGGGGCTTTAAAGCAGTCGGTACTCTATGCCTTGATGTGACAGTGAGTCAAGGCAATGCACCGTAACGAACCCATGCTTGCAGAATTGCTTGGGTACCAGTCCGTAGTCGCTGCCACAATATGCAGCACGAGCGGCGAACCGTTGACCGACTGGTCATTCTCTTCGGCTGAGGTACTAAGTAGTAGGAGCGGTGTTCTGTGTTCCCTTTATTTCACCATGCGGCTCGAGCATAGAGCAATGCTGTCGCTGCTCGTATCATAGGGTGGGGCTTTTTTATATACGCCTTCTCGCTAGCTGTGGGATCTGGGCTGTAGGGGCGACCATATTGGCGATGCAGACCTATTCACATGCGAGAGTATTAGAATGACAATGCAGGTGTGGGTTCAAACACCGCAAGCTCACCGCGTATGGTGGTTCGTGACGTACGGCACGCTACTCGGAGGTTGATGCATTCCACTCCTCATCAACGTGATGTACCCAAAGCAACATAGATGGAGCAGTAGCTTTCCAGGAACATATATGCCCATATTGGCGAGCAGCTCGCAAATGGATCCCAGGAGACATGGCGTGACAATACGCGTTGAACGCGATCGGTCACACCCCCCATCAAATACTTTTCGCGATGAGGGCACCACCAAACCCATGCCAGGATAACAATATAAAGTCGAGAAGTGCTGTAATCGCACCGTATTAAATCCCTTTTGAGTATCAACGACTTGAGGGGATCCCTTCCAGGACATGAGACGCAAGCTCGTCTCACGGATATGTAGATTAGATGATTTCGATAAAGTTCATTTGCGGAAGCCTTCAGCAGGAACGAGTATACGAGTCCAAAACTTGGGTGTAGGTTGGTGGCGGCCATCAAGTCACAATCGTGAACGGGCGTTTGTGCGCTGATAGTACGTGTCGCGAACATATTTGCGCAGCCCATTCAGATAGACTTAGGTTTGATAGTTTGAGGAATGGATTTCTCAGCCATCTAAGTATAGCCGGTGCATCATACTTTCTGGCGCTTGCTCATTAACAATATGCTGTCATCACCATAGGGGCATGAATATGGCTTACCAGGACCTTTACATTGGAGTTGTTGCCCGTTGGTTTGATTTGCCTCGGCGACATTTTGAGAAACAACACAGCTTTTGTGTGTGCAACTTCGACAATGATTTGAATGTAAAAAAGAGCGCGCAACCGAGGCCCCGGAACCACTTCTCAGCCACATTTTGACCAGGCTTGATAGTATGGGCGTCTCGCGGGGTTAAGAGGTCCCCATTCGACCATGACGACCTCAGAACCCTATGATCTCGTGGGCGGTCCTTTCGCGGTTATTGAGTCAGACCCTGGTAACATTTATTTAGGCTAAAACATTCACGATACTCATGGAAGGCCAACAGGTGTATTCACTGCCCTCATCCAGAAACTGGGCGTGAAAGGTCTTGAGGTCATTGAATTGTACGACATCGAACCGTGGGCTGTGGACCATCTGAATCCCCATGGTCTCATATTCTGTTACATGTGTACAGAGGAAAGTGACAACTTCGAGACTGGCGACGAACTCGACGACCCAGATGCTGAGCGCGTGTGGTTCGCAAATCAATTGAGCGACGATGCATGTTCATCTCAAGCCATTTTGAACGTACTCTTGAATCGGCCCCATATATACATAAGCGACGAACTGAGCGACTTCAAAAAGATAACTGAAGACATGTCGCCTGTGGTAAGCACAACCTCTCCCCTGCCTCCTGGCACGCTCAGAAATGCTTCGTAACCTCTGTCACAGATGAGGGGGCTGGCACTATCAGGCTCGCACTTCATTCGTGCCGCACAGAACTCACTGGCAAGGTACGCCAGTCGACTCTACGATTTGCAATCGTTTATGGAACGAGTGCAGGCCGGCTGATATCCGGGGAGGTATGCATGCGGTCGCTGCCACAACCATAGAAGCCAACAAACATGACGTTGGTCGTACAAGTGACGGCAGCCCCGCAAAGAAGAAGCGGAAGACATCACGCACGACGGCAAAGTCCAAACAGAAGGCGGCTCAGAGTGTCCTTGACAGTCAGGAGGCATACCACTTCATTGGCTACGTGCCTGCGCGCGACAAGGTGTGGGAACTCGATGGGTTGCGCAGCTGTGCCTTGGAGGTTGGCACATTGCCTCCCGAGTGTCGCTCAGAAGACGGCAGAAATGGCTGGATGGACATTGTGCGGCCCGCTCTGCGGATGAAAATGCAGAAATATACCAGCGGCAGCGATCACATCCGATACAGCCTGCTCGCCATCGTGGATGATCGTTATCAGAAGGCGAGCGACGAGCTGGAGCTGCTCAAACGGGAACGCCACGCCCTCGAGCGGCGGCTCAACAACGTGCATCCAGAGGGATGGTCCCACAAGGTTCGTCGTCCTCCGTTATCAAGACGCTGCTATTCGTCCGATCCCGCCCGAGTCTACTTGTGGACTGAATTGCCCGTCCATACAGGTGGATGCTGATCTGGTGTCAAGCGCCTCCGAGAGTTTCGCCACGTCCATGCGGTCTCCGAGGGAAGGTAGAGTCTACTCCGAGGATTTTGGCTCGCGCAAGATGGACAAGGAGATTGCCATCTTGGACATGCCAGTCCGCAACCTGCCGTCGGCCTGGGAGGCGTGCGTGAAGGCAGCAATTCCGGCGAAAATCGCGGCCGAGGACGAGATAGCAAAGTCGAGAGATGCGCACGTACGTTACCTCATTACTCATGCAGACTTCGTCGACGTGGTAATAGCATGCATACCCGCGCAGACCGACCACATCAAGCGCACGTTTGACTACGAGCCCTTCATCACAGAGTTTGTGACCTGCATGCACAATGAGGGGCGCCTCGATGCAGCATTGCGTGGTAACTCTGTAGATGAGGGCACAGCACAGGTGAAACCGAAACCCAAGGGACGAAAATAGAGCGCAAGGGGGCCTGATCTCATGTTCACGCCAATCCAGCATGGTCCAGCATACGCACGAACATCGTTCATTGTACCAGGTCCGCAGTAGCAGTGCACAAACTGCCCCGGTGTTGGGACCCCGACGCCAGAATAGGACCGGACAGGTTCTCATCTCCGACGTGTGTATGTGAAGTGTCTCCTGCAAAAGCGAAGAGAAGGTTCTATACACTCTCGGTCCATGCGATACATGCAGAGACGCGGCAGATACGTTACCAGTGCTACATCAGAAAGTCTATGATACCCAAAAGGAGCGAAACATAGTTGACATAGCTGTCCGTAATGTCTAATGTCCACTTCAACTTCTAGTCCGTATTAGTCAACGATTGTCCCCTTCTTATTCGATCTCATTACATCATCCTTCACTTATTGAGTCCCAGGATTTGTATGTTCACGGGATAGCAAGTGTCGTACACATACTCGCCCCCGTTGTTGGGCGTCGGCTGCCATATGATGTTGTTCTGCTCGTACGCCCCGATCTCGTTCAGGCACAGTGCGAACCCGTCTGTGTCACCGTTCAGGGAGAGCAGCGGGTACTCTCCGCCACCCGTTGGGTCGATGTCGGCCACGGCACAGTAGATCTGCACAGGTGCAGGCGCATCGACGCTCGTAACGAAGACGATGGGGCTGCCCGAGGTGACATTCGCGTCGGTTGTGCGTGCACCGTATTGGGAGTTAGGGATCAGCGCGCCCGCAGAAAGCGAGAGGGTCGGCCAGTCGTTGTACGAATAGGTGGCCCACGTCTGGTACCCGTCATGAGTTGTATGAATCCCGCATAACAAGGGTGGCCACGTACCGAGAGCACCTCAAACTCCGCACCATCAACGGCGCCTGCTTGTCCGAGTACGAGCGGTGCACCCGTGGCGTTCGCATTCGGCAGCGTCGTGTTATACGCGGCCAGAGTGAAATTCTCTGCTGAGTCGAAGGCACCGGGACCAAGGCCTGAGCACCATGGAGACGTCGCCCGGGCATCGAGTTGTCCCGTCGGCAGGGCAAGCGCTGCGGCGGCAGCGGCGACGAGCAGGAGGAAGACAGTGAACATGGCGATCGCAACCGAGGTAGGGCACTTGTGGCGGTGGGTGGTCAAGAGGGTTGACGAAGTGTTTGTGTCCACGGGCTAGGGCTTATATACCTTCGTTGCGGAAAATGTGGCCCCGATCAAGTTGGGTCCTGGACACAAACGGCATGATGAGATCATACACGAATGTCAAAAATTGCTGTTCAGTACGTACTCCACGCCCTCAGCCTGATGACCCATCGAGTCCCGAAGCCACGTTTGACGCTAACGCTGGCTGCTAAGTCTTAAACATCTAACACTGCCATTCTTGACGGCGTTCTCTTGCGGCGTTGGCTGACCGCCTTGGCGTCACTGCACAAGAAGGCAAATGCAACGTCTTAGAATGGGAACGGCCCGCTGCGAGCAGATGGAACCGAGCTTCGGGGTGCCTCGAGGCTTCGGCGCGGCAGCAATTCGCAGATGGTGCGGTGAAAGAAACATCCATGTCTAGAGCGCCATGCAACTCCGTCAGAGAATCGGTGACTTTTCAGGTGTGGGAGGCGGTCCATCCTAGCAGCGACTGGTACTTATAAGCGGCGATGTGGATTAGGCTCGGCCTGCCGAAAGTCGGAGAGCCGGGCTGGCAAAGACAGTGCCAGAACAATGGAGACTCTAGAGAAATCCGCATGTCTGAGCGCGAGACGAGTAGGTTCTGCACCTTGAAAGTCTGGTTCTAGTACTGCCGCTCCCTTCGCGGTCATTCCAGGCCTCTGGGAGTGCAAGTCTGGGTCGAGCGAGCTGATTGTTAGTACCGCCAGAGCTCCTGCTTATCGGCAGAATCCAGCATTTCCGCCTGAATCGCCGCCGCTCTAACATTTTAGAGAGCCCGAACGCATAGCTACAGAGATCACGACGGCGACAACGTAGCTGGCAACCGCAAGAAAATCGCGACGCTCGTCGTTGCTGGCTTTGGTCGATTACTAAGGTAAAGTCTAATCGAGCCAACCCTATCCTGGGGTTTGCGTATTCTACCCAAAAACCTCGACTTAAATGGAAGCACGAACACAATATCACATAGGGCACAAGCACTAAATATAAGTACACAATTCCGGAAGCAGTTATTCGCCAAAAGTTGTCTTGATTCAGACCAACGACACTTTAAGCCATTCAACTTAAAAACCGGTGCAAAGCCTGCTCCGTTCTTATTCATGCCTCGAACACATTAACTGTGTCGTACATATTTTTGCTCAGGCGGAAGCAAGGTGCCCCTTCCTGCCAACACCTTTCAGGGTGCGCCCCTACAGCAGATGAGTACACTGCACCGATTCAATGGGGCACAGCTTGTTCCGAAATGAATGGTGGGAAATTCGGCAACAAGTGCCGATCCAAATAATCAGCGTTACGCCACGGCGAATCCCCAGATTTTTGTGAGGCGAAGGCAGTGTAATTCCTAGAGCAGCACCGCCTTTGTGTCGGGAGTCAAAGGGGGTGAATATACGGAACGGCCGACGCTGTGAGGTGCGGTGCCGAGGCGTAGTCACCATAAAAAGGAATTTTGATCTGCGCCAAGGGGGTATTACGTCGGCTGATAAGCTTGGAGTTCGGGACCAGACGTCGATACTTATAATGGCGGGGTGGGCGCCTGGGCCTCCCTTTCTCCACTCACTACCACATCGAATGATACCCACTCTCAGCATTTTGCGCCTTCGTTCCTCGAGATTGCTCCTCTCGCTCGCAACAGCCGTTATCCAATATGTTCCACACAAGCAGCTCGGCGGCGCGGAGACGCATACGTACGCAAAGCGGGACATGAGTCGTGGCGAGACCATCGCGTTTGGTGTCCTCATTCCCATCCTCGTTATCCTTTCCGGCGTATTCGCCGGACTTACGCTGGGATACATGTCTCTTGACGAGACACAGCTTAACGTCCTGAGCATCAGTGGTACTCCGTAAGTCCCTTGTTCTCCCGAGTCCATCCGGCCCTGATATCTTTGTCCGCTACAGAAAGCAGAAGCTCTATGCGAACAAGATCAAGCCTATCCGCAAAGACGGACATTTGCTGCTCGTCACGCTCCTACTCGCCAACATGATTGTCAACGAGACACTCCCGGTCATTGCCGACCCCATACTCGGCGGCGGTGTCCAGAGTGTTGTCGTGAGTACGGTCCTTATCGTGATGTGCGTCTATCTTTCCCCGCCTTGTTCTCGTACGCGTCACAATTGCGACACGCATGACGCGGAGACGCGTCTCATGAGGCCTTGTCCATCAGGGAACGCGGCACACGTGATCTTGCTACCGCGATGCGACCTTCTGTTGTGGAATTCCATGACTGCGTATCATAATCAAATTCACACTCTGTTTTTGTTGTGCCCGCGACGCGGAAATCTCAAACATAGTGTTCCTTGTCGGGGGCACTATGTTTGTAGCCCGTGTGTTCGGATATATTATGCCCATCCAGTCCGCTCCAGAAGGTCCGGACGTTATTACAGGGTCCATTAGACGTGGTGTGTATCGTGTTTGTGCGGGATCCGCCCAGTGCGAATGCGCACAGATCCTGTGTCTTGCAAGCCTGAGGCTAGCCATTATTTAGCTGTCGGGTTTTTGTTGAACCAGTCTCGCGGGGCTGTGAGCTACTCTGATGAACCCAGTAAAGCGAGGTCATCGATATCCTTTGTTTCGTACCGTCTGTGATGGGCATGGGCTGATACTACTTTCTTACAGCTTCTCGGAGATCATTCCCCAGTCTCTTTGCACACGCTATGGGCTGTATTTTGGTGCCAAGATGGCGCCATACGTGCGCGTGCTCATCTGGACTTTGGTACGTTTGTTCGCCTCACTATGCGCCTCAGATGATAAATCTGACACTCGATAGGGTATTGTCGCGTATCCGGTGGCCAAGCTGCTCGAGTTAGTGTTGGGCCCTCATCATGGTATCATCTACCGCCGTGCCGAGCTCAAGGAGCTGATCGCTATGCACTCCAATGTCGGCGAGCTCGGTGGTGATTTGAACAGAGACACTGTCACGATCATCGGTGGTGCCTTGGACTTGCAAGAAAAAGTCTGTTCACGCGCATTATCCACCTGTAACATGCTGACATAGGTACAATATAGGTCGTTAAGCAGGCGATGACGCCGATTGAGGATGCGTTCATGCTCAGTATCGACTCACGTCTGGACTTTGAGACGCTCCGGAAGATCTGTCGCACTGGCCACTCTCGAATCCCTGTATACGAAGAAGTTGAGATCCCAGCGCCCGCCTTGGTAATGGGTGCCCCAGTTAGCAACGTGAGTTGCATCGCCCCTTCTAGTGGCATATGACCACTGACGTTGACCATAGGATATCATGAACGCTCCGATCGCCGAAGTCCGGAAGGACGGCCCCACGTCTTCGAAGATGGTCAAGGCGAAGAGAATCGTCGGTATCCTGCTCGTGAAACAGGTGTGTTAGTCCGTATATGCGTCTTCTTACTCTGACATGTGTCGCGTAGTGCGTGCTACTAGACCCGAAGGGTATGTCTCGTCAAGCTTGATATAGACCCATCATGACTGACAGGTCGAATCTAGAAGCAACGCCAGTGCGGAAGATACCGCTCAACAAGGTGCCGCTCGTACCCCACAACGAACCCCTCCTCGGCATCCTCGATAAGTTTCAAGATGGTCGCTCACATATGGCTATCGTTTCGCGGTTCAGCGTGGAGCGTGCTGCTAGCGTCAAGCAGGCGGTGAAACGCGGGTTGACGCAGCGCCTCAAGGAGACATTCCAGGACAGCGACAGCGATGATGAAAGCAGCGAATCCGAAACCGAAGGCCGCACGCAGTCACGGTGGAAGCGCTTTGGTCGGAGACGGAGCCAGCAGAGCGGAAGTGAGAACGAGGAAACGTTGCGCGAGGAGGCGAGCGACGATGCGGGGTCGCGCACGAGCGGCGGCGGTGGGCGCTCGAAGAGACTGCGTGCGTTCGGCACGCGCGGTCGCAGAAAGCAGAAGGCCACGCGTCTCGGGGACGTCGATCTGGAGATGGGAGTCGTCGAGGGCGCTGCGCCACAGGAAGACCAGCAGCAGCAACAGCAAGCCGCAGGGAGCCGCAGTCGCCTCCCCAGTATCGCGTTGCCGCGTATGGGCTTTTGGGGCAACGAACAGAATGTCCCTGCGGACGCCGTTTTGTCGACCGAGGGTGCAGAAGAGGTGGGTTCTACGCATTCACCATTTGAATGAGACTATTTATATCCACGCCTCTAGCTCTTGCAAAGCATGGATCCGGCTGTCATGCCTTTAGGTATCATTACGTTGGAGGACGTCTTGGAAGGTTGGTCTGATTTGTGTCATTTGCGGGTTCTCGCAGTTGACGGCCTGGCAATGCAGAGCTTATCGGCGAGGAGATCTACGATGAGTTCGACCCGCAAGGCCACCCGGATCTGTCGTCATACGCGGGCGCCGGCGGGGAGCCGAAGCCGAAACCAAAGCTGATGGCGGGCGGTATACTGCGCCATAGACGTTCAGCGCCACAACTCGCGCCTCAGTCGAAGGTGACTGACGGGACATCAGTGGCCCCGGGAATTCAGGTGTCCAGTTCTGTCCCTGCCAGTAGCGCGGATGGTCTCGCGGTGTCTCCAAGCGCAAGTCCGACACCGAAGACGCCTACACTACCGGTTGTGAAACCAACGGCGATGCACACCCTACCGTTGCGCGGACTAAACGCACTGAACCTCAAAGGCATCGGGTCTCGCATAGCAAGGTCCCGCAGTGCGCCGCCCACACCCCGCGACGAGACTGCTAGCGAACCCGGTGAGGTAACACCCACTGTTCCGGAGGGCATTGTCGTGGTGACGCCGGCGCCGGCGGGTGCTGGCGCAGACCATGAACTTAGCCAGGAATCCCCCGTGATTTTCATGGATGCAGCCCAATTGACAAGTCCGCAGCCCGTCGTGAGCGTGCCGCAAGTGATCAACGCGGAATCGGTCGCGCGGGCGAAGCTGTCGCCGCCACAGTCGCCGGTGCCGCTAACTGTCAACGCGCTCGCGACAGCTTCGAAGCCGACATCGCGCAGCTCATCGCCGTCGCCGTCGCTAGAGCAGGCTATCCTGATCGAGCGCAAACGACGGGCTGCGTCGGCGGGCGCAGGGAGTATGCCATTGCCGAAGGGCGCGCGATTCAAGAGCAGCCCGCTGACGGGTGAGCGCCTGCGGAAGCAGTTGAGCGAAGGCGGGGAGGCGGTGGTTTTTGACGAGAAGGAAGAGCCCGAGGAGGGCAAGTACTAGTCGTGAGTTGTTCAGCAGTCCTAGAATGTGCTTTCTCGCTTTGTTTCGTCGATCCCGCCCATGCACATGGAAACAGTACGTTGTTTTAATTCGACATTGTGTAACATATGTATCGATACTGCAGTTGTGGATGTAGCACGGTCGTGATAGCTAGCTCTCGTCGCTCTCTGTACTTACCTCATAGTGATACAGCGTAGTGTCGCCTCGGAATCGGATTTCTCATTGTTTTCGGATTTTGCCCATGGAATCTCTCACTTTGCCGACATATACACCAATAGACATGGTATTGTAGCCCTTGCTAATCTGCAGGTGACGTCATACAGATACCATCTTACTAGGTCTGGTACGTCACATTCTTATTTTGTCAGAACCTTGTCCCAAGTGCTGCATAACGGAGGAAAATCACCGGAAATCATCACCATTCCCAGTGCTTTCACTTCAGGGAAACTGACGCCGTGAACCGTAAGGCTTTAATGCAGTGGCGTTGATATATTCGAATCAGCTTGAAGTTACGCTCGTAAGCAGCACTGTCTTGATGAGAATATGTGACGTAAGTACCACGCCGCCCGAAAACCGGTGTAGTGATGCCAGATGAATGAAGCCTAGGCTTGAATGGGCTTGGCTCTGGCTACAACCTCGGTCCGCTCCCGAGTAGTGGCAGAGATAGAACGCTCTCCGGCCTTGCTGTCGGGAGGATGTGCATGGTAAATAGTCAAAAACACCAAGAGCCGGTGAGTCCAGCAGAGGGAATATCGACTACTGGGGAGATGTCTGCCTGTCAATGTGAACAGTGCCAACAAGTAAACAACGACTCGCCTCGGCATGCCACACGTGAAGAACCATGACGCGGCGGCATGCGGTACCCACAAGGCTAAACTGGAACACGCCGGACATTCACCTCCGTCATGGGATTCCGCCAGCGTCACTCACCCTTCTGCAACACATGCTCAAGCGCGTCTTATCACACCAGGAGCGTAACGTCGAAGACTCTTGCAGCGATACGAGGGGTGCACGTACATACGAGCCGTCTGGCGACCGTTTGGCGACCGTCCCTGCGACGCTCGTACGCCTCGCTGACACCCAAGGTCGAGGCCAAAACGCAGGCGGGGAACGGTGATATTTGCCCTTGCACAGGAAGCCGGCTGTCGCTGATTGGCTGATCAGGTGCCCCTCCACGATCGCGCTTGATGGCCACGAGCCCCGCGAAGCCGACGCGCCTGGAGAACGCCAGGTAAGGAAGCATGCGCGGCCATCGTTCCCCATGCGATCAGCGAGGCCCTGTGACTGTCCCGGCTGCTGTGGGTCCGCCAAGATGCTCGTCGAGCGTATATAAAAAGCGGGCGATGTGCGCGTTCCCTTCTCAGTCCACCGTTGTCTCACATCACCAGACATCCAACGACCACTCGACTCACCTCATCTCACGTCTCCTCGCCATGAAGTTCACCGCCGCCGTCTCTGCTCTCGCTCTCGCTCTCGTGCCCGCGGTCCTCGCGCAGTCTTCCGTGACGGTCGCGTATGACGAGACGTACGACAACGGCAGCCAGTCGCTGAGCACCGTCTCCTGTTCTGACGGCACCTACGGCCTCGAGACCAAGGGCTACACGACGTTCAGCTCGCTTCCCGATTTCCCCAACATCGGCGCTGCCGCTGCCGTCTCCGGCTGGGGCTCCGCCGAGTGCGGCTCCTGCTGGGAGCTTGAGTACAACGGGAACACGATCTATGTGCTCGCGATCGACCACGCGGCAGACGGGTTCAACATTGCGCTCGCGGCGATGAACACACTCACCGACAACCAGGGCACATTCCTCGGCCGCGTGACGGCCACTGCCACCCAGGTTGACGCGTCTCAGTGCGGTCTGTCATGAGATGTTGGCACAAGGTGCATCTGGTGAGTGTGCTGACCTGTCTCTATGAGTGGATGGCTGATTGAATGCTATAAGAGTGGCTCTCGCAGCTGCGAAAAGCGGTCAATGGCCTTTCGCATTGGATGGGACCATCAATGGTCGATAAATCATGGACACTCCACGAACTCTTGCAATGATCCCCTAGCTACAGCTCGTGCATAACGGACTTACGGACTCTTTGTCGCTGCAATGTTTTGATGATTGAATGGACTTTGCTTTGCATCGGTATTCCCTCGCGTGATTTCAAAAAAAAAGTGGGATGCGGAAGAGTTTTAATATTTGCATTATTGGCCTTCCTAATTCAAGCTGCTGGTCTCTTGTATCTACAACTCGTTGCCCGACTGTCGACCTGGAGCACCACGCATTGTCAGGGACATCCCTGTCACAGGGTTTGTTAGCAGAGATATGCACAAAGTCGTCGTTGCCAGAGCTTACCATGCTTACATCCCCGGCACACCATGGGAACAAACACCGGGAAGTCTTTCGAGCGACGATCCCCCGCCACCACAGTCCCCGCGGGACCGCGATACATGACAGGCTGTTCATCGTCATGGCGCCAGTCGTCGTAGTACTCCGACACCGGTGCACTCGCGGGTGGCGCATTCATCAATGTCGCGATCGGCGGCCCCGGGAAGACGTACGACGCATTGGGATTCGTATACGCCTGAGCCGCACCGCATGCATCGACACATAAGCGCGTTTGGAAACGGCATCGGATGGGACGACTTACGTCGACGAGGATGCTTGGATCAGTCGCACTGTATGCGCCCGGGAGCAAGACGGTGTCGTTCGTCGGCGGCACGCCCGTCGCATTCCCGATAACGCGCAGCTGTGTGCAGGAGGGGAAGAACTCTGCCCCGCCGGGCGTCATTGCATTCTGCAGGCCGATGATCTGAACGAATGGAAATATGACATGTTATTCCCGTCAGCGAGCCCGCTAGTGCCCACCTCATTGCGCAGAAGGTATCCGCCAGGTGCGAGGTTGTCCGGGAGTGTCACATTGAAATTGCTGCCCTCCACTGCAGTTGGCAAGTCTCAGTAAAGTGGTTTCATGAAGGATAAAGACTCGCGCACTGATGTCCTGCTGCACCCACCCCACACCGTCTGCGTTCTTCCCCGCCTGAGCAATCATGAACCACCGCGCCCCGGAAGTGTTGAAGCCGACGCAACTGATGTTCCCGCAGGCGGTGAGGTATGTCAGCACCGGCCCGACCTCGTGCGGCCACTGGCGTATGCACGATCAATGTTGGGCGCTGCCAAGGAAGACTAGAATGCGAGAGCGCACATTCCCGCCTGAGCCAGACACCCAGGTGATGTTAACCACACTTCCGGGCCTGGCAACAGCATTCAACTGCGCCGGACCCGCACCCACGCCACACGCCAGGTCCGATGCAGACGTATTTTGCACAGGACCGTCTGTCGTGACTGTGCGAATCGGGCTTGGGCCTGGCATGGGTAGACGTGAATCCCACAGTACGAGGAAGGTAAAGCGGCACGTACCCTCGTAGTGACCTGGGGAGTTGCCCATGTACATGTTGCCGTCAATGAGCACCTGGCTGACATATCCATGGGCAAGAGCGCGTGGGGCATGTAGAGCAAGGATAGCCACTGTAAGGAGAAGCATCGTGTACGTCGGCAAGTCAAGCTTCTTATATGCTATAGACTGTGGGGAGAGACGTCCGTCGATAACCAACGATTAGGGAGAAACATATAACGGGCTAGGGCCATTGTATCCTGGTTTCGTTCTCGACTAGCAGCAGATTGCATACTGGACGCCGTCTGGATGAACACAGTCTGAGAAGAAATTCGGGCGATCGGATATCCGTGACGTACCTAGACTCGTCAGTGAAATCTGTCTACAGTGTAGATGTAGTGCTGTGTGGAATGGCTTACTGTAAACGCGAATCACGGCTGCTGTCGAAGATATCAGAAGATCCAACATTGACGATGCATTGTTGAACGGGGCAAGCATGTCAGATGACATTGGGCTGACTGATCGTGGCGCCACAATTCGACTCTGATCTTATTTTCTCATCTGATGAGACACAGCAAGCAGAAGCCGTTGTTCGTAAAGGAGACAACACGCTTCCTTCGCCACAACGGGCGAGAGAAGATGACACACTAAATTCATCATGAGCATACGCCAGCGACCTGTGAATTCCACTCACCCAACGTATGTCTAGTGCGCGTATTTAACATTTGCGACTCCTGCGAGGGAAATAAAATTCAACATTACACCATACCAGGTAATATGCTACAGGCTATACGGGCACATCACTCAATGAGAACAGCGTACGACAAACAAGCCATGACAAAGAGAAAACAACAAGAGCTGTATTGAGACGGAGCTGACTACCTAGCGATACTTTTGACTCTCGGGTCATTGGTAGATGAAATTATACCTGACAAACCAAAGAACGCGTTCGTAAGCGAAACATTCAGCTTGACAATATATCGAACTTACCGAGACAGTAAGTGGGGTATAGCAGAGAGTTGCGGACCATAGCTAACATAAATAATTAGGTCAGTACATTTATCATTACTCCGAGCGAACATACCGAGCAGCATTGTCATACAGCTCGAACAGGGGTATGGCGAGTAGTTTCATGTTCTTGGGCACTGCTAGAACCTCTGTCATCGGATGAGTGCGTGTCAGTGATTGCCCAGAAAGTAGCACATGCTACTAAACAGCGCCGGAACGCGCATATACGCACTTCGTTCAGGCATCTGCACCAAAAAGAGCTTCTTGCATTCCTTGGGCTTCGTAATGTGGGCAGGAATAAATGGATACTGGTTCAGGCACCACACAAAAATGCAAATTAGCCATCGGTGTTAATGGATGCTGAGCCATGCTTAGCAGACTGTCGTACGCACCATGAATGTCTCGAAGTTCGGACGCCACCACTGCGCCAAACAGTCTCCAATTTCCCACTCATTTCCCATGCCATGGGACGAATCAAATTGCTGTGTATTCGTCGGGGGAGCGAGGCGTTCATCCAAACGACGTTTGAGCCCGTCAATCTCATCCTCGCCGGGTTTCAGGTAGTCGCCGGGCCTGCGTCAAGGACTCAGACCACTGAGGCGCATAAGTTACTCAGAGCACCAATACGTACAGTTTGAAAAATGCATTGGCAATCTGAAGCATCAGAATATGTGGGTGACCGTGGTCGTGCACGACCAAGATACCTTCGACCGTTCGTCGCATACCGAAATCCTCATAGTTGTTTTGCAAACGCTGAAGACGAGCAGAGACGGAGGGATCTTCTTCTGGCTGCGCCTCCTTCGTGCTGTAAAGCAAATGGGTTGGAAATGGTCTACCGCCAAGTATATATGCGGCCCTTACCTGAACGTGAAGTTCGAGAGGGGGTAACTGGCAAAAGCATCAGCATTAGTGAGTTTAGGCTGTAGCTTAAAACTCCATACAGCGCGATGGTGTTGGACATTATATACGAGACGTTCCCTAGAGGATCTCAAAGAACGAGATTGCGAATAACCACGAGTACTTGTATCTGACCGAGTTCACGACTGTACTGGTGAAAGACCTATGTGACATTATTGTGACGCCGACGCGTCAGTGTCACATGACAATCACGGTACGCGTTGATTTCTTGACGCGAATGGCAACGTGCGTGAAAGGCATGGATAGATAAATCCACTTGGTCGTTTTGTCATACTTCATTATCATACTTGAATATGGTGGGCCAAAGGAGAATAAGAATGTGTGGTTACAAGCAAACTATAAGGGCCTCATAAGAGCAGGCTTACAGTATCTTGCGCTATGACCGCGTTACCGAGCTCGAGCTTTCCCTTGTTGCAAATGCATGATAAGCCGGCTTCTTGTTATAATAACATTGCGATAGTGTTCCCTTCTGATTTTTGAAGAATTGAGTTCTCTTAGTCTGTGTTGCTACCATATACGGACATGGATGGCAATTGATCCATATTTATTATTGATGAGGTTCTCTCCCGCCCCCACCACATGTACAATTTTGCGCCCATCATGTCTTTAGCTTATACTCTCAGTCGTAATTCCTGAGACGAGGGGCCTGCGGGCAATGCAACGTTGATCAATGAATTGATGACCAGATAATGGTAGTTGGGTATGTGCTGCATAGACGCACGCGAAAAGCTAACAATACCTAAAACAATTAGTCACGGCCATCTCAAGCGACACGCTATCGTATTCTCATTCCCGCGTGCGGGTTAGATTGCAACAGACAACGCGCCGTTCTCACTAGCCGTCCTTGTCGCTGTTCGCGACTTATTATGTCGACAGACGGAGGGCCAAAGCGCAGGTATACCGCCGCCTCGCCGAGCGTTGCAGCGCTGAGCCTCTTCATCTCATAACAAAGCTGGGCGTTGTTCACAGCCCGAACAGCTTGGGCCGCCACTCCAGAAGAACAATCGCTCGCCACGGTTCTTTAGCGCCAAGGTCAAAGCCCATGTCTATATATCACGCTTTACCGCGACTGTAGCCCACTCATTCGCGCCCCCTCCACTCAGCCCATAGCCCTTAGCTTGCACTCTGCTATACTAAATCTACACGTTCTTCACTCTCCTCTGCAGCTCAAGTCTTAGAATGCCTCCACATCGGACCCCTCCCCGTGCGTCTTCCCGTACTCTTTTCTGTTGAGCTTCTGGTCTCAAGCCGCTAGCAGGCGATGAGTCTTCGCGTTCGTGGTTGCCTCCAATGCCGTATTGGGTATCTCGGACGGTCCGCAATGGACTATCCTCGTTCGGGATCGGCGACAACGAGGACCAGAACGCACAAGACGCAGGGGCCCCCACTTCCGATTCTCCATCCGAAGACGAGGTCGGGTACATTGTTTCCGGAGAGTCTGATGAATACAATTACGCACTGGAGGTGCATCCTCCTCCCACAGCCGCCGCCGTGCCGCGGTCACAGAGGGCGCTGGGGCAACTGCAGGCACCTCCAGCATCCTTGCTCCTTGCTCCCCCATCATCACACTCGCATTCTGCAGCCACTTCATCTGGCTCCAGTGCACCAAGGAGGTCTGCGCTGACGGTGCAGAGACTCAGGAGAGGTGAATATATTCCCTCCGCTGACTCGCAGCCTATTAAGGCGTTATGATTACAGCACGGACACCTCGAACGAATGTTAGGAATCAAGGGGATCACCAACAGGTTCGATTTGATTTATCTCAGTCGGCCACTCCCAGAGGCACGGGGATATCAATCTCGAGTGAGTTATATGTGTGATTATTTTTACTTTATGCTGAATGATATGTGGTGCACACTCAGATCAGCCGGTTGCTTCAAGCTCAAGACGTCCCTCGGCCGGCGTTCCCGCCAACCAAGCTCCCAGCAGCTCGCGCCCACGATCACTGCGTGAGCGGGCCGACCGGTTTCAGGTCATTATAAACACACCTCGCCCACGTCCAGTAGATCTTCCTCCAGTACAACGTATGTCGTATAAATTGTGTCATAGTCATATACTCACCATGCATGCAGCATCAACACAGCGGGCCAGCCTCGACGATAATCGTAGGACCCGCCCGCTCCAGCGACGGGGCGCTTTCTATCGTGACTCTCATCCTGAGATCTTCAACTACTCCGAATGGATCGAATCCGATGACAACACGCGTGCAGGTCCTTCGTCTGCTCCGGCGCACGTACAGACCCAAGTTTCGCAGCTGCTACGTGACCCAGCTGCACGTATGGAGATCATACGGCAACTTCAGGTGGAGGGAAACTCGATACTGCTACGCCCAGATTTTCCATACGGCATGCCACTACTCTCGTTAATTAACACATCTCAGCTCAGGGGCGATGCAGACTGGGAAGGCGGGATAAAGCCTGCCGATTGGGAAAGGACCCGTACACCGGCGCGTGCAGACGACGCAGCCGACTCGCAGGACGAAGGTTTTGAGCCCTCAGATGATAGCGAGGAAGAGGATCCTCAACCCTCGGTGCCGCTTTCTCAACCCTCGGAAGGCACATCCAGCCCCATTCGCCACCCCAGCCCTCCAACACATATCTCTCAAGGAACACAAGCTGGCCAATATAGAGGACGTTCCCACTCCCATTCTCGCTCACAATCAGAGACTAGACGCCGAGCTACGAGCCCAAGGTCCACTGCTCAGGGTCGCCTAAGCGCACGACGGTCTGCCATTCCGCAGAATGCCTCCGCTCTTGCTCATGAACCCGCTCAACCACCACGCGAATCCTCCCCCCCTCTTGGCGAACTCGAGTCGGACTACCTGCCGCTTGGATACACGGCCCAGGCACTAGCTGCTGTTACGCAGGCCTTGCCGTCATCACCGCGTCTGGTACCAGTGGCTGAACTATTGAGGATTGGTGCAGTGCCACCGGAAGCCGGTGGATCTAGTTCAGACACAGCGCCGACAGACATTGATACGTTTACGGGCAACATCGCCTCCACGGAGCCTGACTCGTCGACGTCAAGAGCAATACCTCCGGAAGCTGGTCCTTCGACCTGCGATGATGCCATCCCAGAGGTTACTCCGCGAGCATCATCATCTCAGGAAGTCAGGCGCTCTGCCAGAAAACGTTCACGGGAAGACGATGTCCCCACGGCAGAAGGCGCGCCATCGCAGAACAAGAAACGCAAGAGGCGACAATAGACATACTCCCGACAGTGCTTGATTGAGTCTTACTTGAACAATCTCTTGTCTCTACACATTTGTAACCACCCCTTCTAATATTCCTCGCTCCCCAGTATTTTGCTCCCGGCTCTGTCTGTTGCGTATATACCCCTTGATTTCTATCATACCCCTGTTTTTTATGATACTCCCTATGGTTCACGACCTTATACCCCATCTCGATAGTTGTGACTGAAGTTTGTTTCAATGGATTGTGTTTCCTTGCGTTGTAGTTTTGCAATAATACTTCAACACGCTGTTCGCCGGGAAGTTGGACTGAACACTACGCCTTCCAAATATGGACTAGGTCCCAGCTTTATTCCTCGAGGATGACTCCGTGGTCAGCTTTTTACAGTGCACTGATGTTGCACTTGCGCCAAACTTACATCACATCTATATGTCTCTACTCGTTCTTTCCGCGTCCGATGTTGAAGCCATCACGTCTCGATTTTCGCCTGACGACTTGACCAGTCTCATGGCGCAGGTGTTTTATCGCCTGTCGAGGTCCACGGTTGACTCGACCCATTCGGAAATACAGCAGCCACAGCGTATTGGGCTGTCTTTGACTAACCACATAGCTCTATTCATGCCTTCAAGCATCGCCTCGATGGGTGCCGCGGTGAAGGTCGTGTCCGTCCCTACCCCCGCTGCACCATTGGCAGTTAAGGACCGCGGGCTTCCTGCAAGCACTGTTGTTCTTGACGGTACATCTGGGACCGTCAGAGCTGTCGTGAATGCGAGACATCTCACCGCTCTAAGGAATGCCGCAGGTAGGCGCATATTATAATGTTATTCAATTTTATGCAGCGCTTTTTTTTTCGGCATGAGCAGGAGTTATCGTGAATGACGCTGTGTATTATCAGGATCCCTTCTGGCTACTCGACTGCTTTTGCCTCCCACTGCATCGCCGCGATCGCTCCTGGCATTCGGTGCTGGTGCCCAAATTGCTGCGCACATTGCGCTCTTCCTGCGCTATTATCCATCTATCCGTTCTTGCGCCGTTGTCAATCGTTCCCGCAACGCAAGACTTACCAGGCTCGTAACGAAGTTGGCGGCAGGGTACCCCGAGGTAACATTCACTGTCGGTGTTCTTCCGTCCTCGGGCGAAGGCCACGAAGATGTAGATCTCGAAACCGTGGTGCATAACGCCGACATTATCATAACAGCGACGTCCGCGACGACCCCGCTCTTCCCATCCAAGTATGTGAAGCCCGGTACCCACCTGTGCCTCATTGGCTCGTACAAGCCCGAAATGTCAGTGCAGTCATGCGCCGCATTCAATCGCTCGGCTAACCAGAATCTTTCGCGCGCGCGTCTGCAGGCATGAGGTCGATACAGACCTTGTCAAGCGCGCCGGGAAGGTCGTGGTCGACTCCCGCGATGCATGCCTGGTACGTACTCACAATCGGCCCTGGATCGCCATCTGGCGTAACATGCGTTGGGTGCGTGTGCTTGATGATGTTTCGATCGCAGCACGAAGCAGGAGAGCTTCTCTCCGCGGGCCTCGGAAGATCTAATCTCATGGAGTTAGGCCAGCTCCTCCACCTCCCCGACTCGGACGGGGCAGGGTGGGTTGCAGAGAACGAGCGCGTGAACATGGTCAGGGCTGCAGGTGATGTGACTATTTTCAAATCCGTTGGTGTCGGGATACAGGATGTGGCTATGGCATTTGCTGTCGTGAGCCGTGCGGAACGAGATGGCATTGGATCGAGGATAGATGACTTCGACAATGAATAGTAGCTATCGACGCTGCACAGGATACTATACACTGTCCGAATTGATGTAACAAATAAGATACCAAGGAGCTCACAACCGTTGGAAAGAGGTCCAATAATCATAACCGGCACTACTGCATGGATACAAGGGATGGCGAGGGAATAATACACGGGGTAGTCGAGGGCAGTAGAGTCCCAAGCGGCCGTACAGTAACAGTCTAAGTCTATGCAGGGCGATTACGACAGCAGTCAATCACAACAGTAGTCAGCGCATCAGTACTGCAGTCAAGAGGGAAAAGAAAATATGAGACGAGGCATGACGAAAAGCGACGAGACGTAACGTGGAGTAGCAGACGATAGAGAAAGCAAATGAAATCGGGAGCCATTATTTCATCAGTAGACGTAATCACCAAGCAGTCGTGCGAGCAACCTGCCGCCCACGAATCGGCGCCAGGCTCCTTCTAACGCACGAACATAGCGGTCGCAGACGCATCGTGAAGAAACATGCCAGCGCGATCGAGAGCGACATGGAATAGCCTGCGGACGATGTCAGCTTGGGAGAAAGCAAGCGCACAATGAGGCACACTCACAACGAGACAATCGAGAAATCACGGCAGGACGCCCCCCATTTTGAGCCAGTCCCTCCGGAACTCATCCTCCAGGGCCTTGATCTTGAGAAGCATCTCTGCCGCGCGGCGGTTCAGACCCTCCTCACGCTTGCGCAGCTCCTCTTCTTTCTTCTGGTTTTCATCAGCCTGGCGCTGCACCTCGCGCTCCCTATCGCGGAGATCGTCCTCCCTCTTGCGCGGCGCCCCAGGCTTGCGTCGCTTTTCCTCCTCTTTGCGTCTCGCATCTTCAAGCCTCTCTCGCTTAGCCATCTCCTGCTCCCGCAGCATGAGGTCCTCCTCTTTGTGTCTGATCTCCTCTTCTTTCCTCCTGATATCGTCCTCCCTGCGCCTGGTCTCTTCCTCCTTGCGGCCCGCATCCGCATCCTTCTTCCCGATGGCTTGCTCCGCCTTCTTGGCCTCCTGCTGCTTCTTCAGGGCATCCGGCGCACGCGTCGTGCTGTCGGTCCTCTGGCGCCCCTCGAGACGCCGACGCGTCTCCTCCTGTTGTCTGCGGAACTCGAGGAGCCTCTGCTCATTCAGCCGCTCGACCTCGCGCGCCGCAGCCGCAGCCGCCTCGTCCTCTTCGCGCTTCCTAAGCAGCTCGCGCCTGTGCTCGTCCTCCATCCTCTGCCGACTCTCGGCCTCCCGGCGCCGAGCCTCCTCGTCCTCCTTCCGCTTGAGCTCAAGCTGCAGGCGAGCCTGAGCCTCTTCCTGTGCCCTGCGTTTCGCATCCTCTTGCTCCTTGTATTTGGCCTCCTGTGCCTTCTGCTTGGCGTCCTGCGCCTTCTGCTTAGTGTCCTGCACCTTCTGTTTCGTGTCCTGTTCCTTGCGCTTGGCTTCCTCCTTGCGCTTCGCCTTCCCGCCCTTGGCCTTCTTCGGCGTGTCCTCCTTTTCCGTCTCCGTCTCGACTTCAACCGGCTTCATAGGGGCCGCCTCGACCTCGACCTCGACCGCCTCTTCGGGGGCCAGCTCGCTGATGATCGTGTCCTGCGCCGAAAGGAGCCGCTCGATGCTGCTCTCGCCCGTCACCATGAACTGCTCCATGCCCTGCTTCATCATCTGATCGACATCCTCCGTGTCGAACGCAGACGCCTCCCAGTCGCTGTCGCCCTCGTCAGACGCCACCAGCACCATCTCGTCCAGCGTTGGCGTGCGCTGGGGCTCGGACGACCTGCTGCTGCTGCTGGTGTCCAAGCTGCTGCCCATAGGAGGAATCCACATGTGCGAAGATGGCGCCGGCAACTGCATTCCGCGAAGTGTATCGCTACGGTCCCGCCCCAGGACGCTCTGCGGCTGGAACGGGGCGTGGATGCTGCTGCGGTCGTCGTCAAGCGTGAATGAGCGCGGGTCGACGACCTGCATCGCGGTGCCGGCACTAGCACTTGCACTGGGGGCCCGTGCTCCGGGGTGGGGTGTTGCTGCGGCTGCGCGTAGCGTGCTCGAGATGGGCGGGGGTGGGATGACGATCTCCCTCTGCTCGGCTACCGTCTGCTCGAAATGCACAGTCGGGTTCGGGGGGACGCCCATGCCCCGGAGAGGGAGCGCGGGGTTCGGGGTGGCCGCCGACGCGCGGAACGCGCTAGTCATTGGCGGGAAATGGATGCCGATGGGCGTCCTATGCTCAGCGGCCTGCTCGTAGTTCATGTTTTCGACCGCACGTAGAGGGGTCGGGGCGACGCGGAAGGAAAGGGGAGGCTTTGGTGTCGCACTGTGCGAGCGATCGCTAAAGTGGGGCGCGAGGTGGAGGGGGACGATAGGGCGAAGCTGTGGCGTCTTCCGCGCTTCCTCCTGTGCGAGGTTCACAGCAAAGTTGATTTGTCTAGCGATGACGGCCTCGGCCTCAGCAAGAGGAGCAGCTGCGTTGTGTGCAGGGATTAACTCCTCGGCGCTGTGCCCTGGGTCCGCGTCATCGCCCTCGGAAGCTTTCCTCTTCAACCTGCTGCTTGGTCGATCCTGAGTTATGGGTCGATCTGCTGTCTTCACAGAAGAGGGCGTAGGACGTGAGGTGACCGACTGGCGAGGTGTTCGATCGTCCGCAGGAGCCGAAGGTCGCCATATCTCTGGCACCTGCCTCGCCTTTGCCCGCGCATCAACGTGGTGCTGTTTGATTGTACCTGCAGAGCCACCGTCAGACTCGCAATCGAGACAGGCATCGAACATACTCACTGTCGTTAGGTGCTGATATCCCTCCCCGAGGCCACGGCCCGCCGGGTGTCGCACTTGGCCTGGACGACTCACCGGAACCCTCCCCGTAGGAGTGACCATACCAGTCTGTCGAGGACTGTCGTGCGTTAAGCTCGTATTCCAAGAAACGAGAGTAATGGTGCGATACCGAGCCGTCGCCGCTCGTGCTCCGTCCGGCCAATCGCGATGGACCAGCTACAGGTTCGTCGTGGGGCTTGAATGTGAAGCCAGCATGCGTCTGCTGTCGACCATTATGGACAGCCGTCAGCATGGCCTCTTGCTCGCGGGCGGCGGCCTCGATCCAGGATTGGTCGACTGGGTACCCTGCTGCCCAGCGGCGCTCCAGTCGCTCGCGTTCAAGCGCTTCTTCATATTGATCCTGGGCAAGGCGGCGGATGTCAGTCATGATGACCTGGTATTTCTGTGATGCGATATCATTGGCTGCGGCGCTATGTGAGTCCGCAGGGTGGTGGATCCACTGGCTGTCCCGTTGCTGACGCGCGTCGTCGACGAGATGTCGCAGTTGGTCCTGAATCTTCTGCCTGAGGTCGTTTTTCCACTGGAGATCGGGCTCGAGCTCTGGATGATCGTCGTACGCTGCACCCCCAACGTAGCCCGCAGCAACTGTAGCCATAGCTGGGGAGGTGGGTGCCCAAGGGGGCGCGACGGAGACAAAGACGAGAGTTGTATTGAGAGAAGCTGCGGCCCGTGAGCGGAATTCGATAAGGAGTCAGTCGTTAGCGCGCGCACGCCTCGTGGTGAGCACGTTACGCACCGCATTCCCGTTCGAGACCTACGATTGGTCTTGCAGATGGCGAGACTCGCGCGCATGGTGGACAGTGAGAGCCAGCTGCGTGCCACGACTCGAGGTGCGAAGGGCGATGATATGGAACCACGCACACGCAACTGTGTTATCGCTAATGAGAAGAAGGGTATCCACGTGCACATTGGGAGCTCTTGAGTACCACTCTTTTACGGCAAAGCAAAACGGGTCACCACTCTTACGTTCTAGCAGAAGTCTGTCAAAAGGGTAGTCCCTTGGCCAAATATGGCGAGGTCGTTATGATCAATGTGGCAGTGCGACAAGTCACGCTCGGTAAGCGTTCACACGATAGAAGAACTCGGGCTCCCAATTGGAAAATGAGGCGGCCTCCCTTGCTCGAATTATACCTTGTTCAGGAGCTACGGCGACCGATTTTCGTCTGTGTTAAGCAGAACGTGTGTCTGTGTTTCGGAGCGCGATACTAGACGTGAGACGAGGCTTAAGAGTTAAAGTGGGAGATGATGATGGTAAGAGAAAGAGAGCGAACGACTAGCACGTTGGGACGCGCGCGGAAGCAAAACCTGGCGTGCCAAAGGTGACCGGTGAAGCTCGAGCTTACACAATGACGTCATGCAGTAGACGCCACGTTAAGACGCGCTAACTCTTAGAGCTGTGGCGTATCACAGCAGGTGATTCGAGATTTGCATGAGCATCATCTCATGATTGCGCCAGCCGTCGCTGCCTTATCCCGTTCTTGGCCTCATCGCTCCCTCATTTATAAGACTCGGCTGAAAGCGGACGACAAAACGAAAGCCTCCCGCCAACGTGTAGCCTATTTGGTACACCTACTTATTCTGGTAGGCACCGGTGAAATTTGGGCCAGGTCACATTGCCTAGGATGACTCGCACACAGTAGTACTACGAGTCGCGCTGACGCCACCACCAGCCATCCTTTCTTGACCCCGTACCACCACTATCTCCGTGGGCGCTTGTCGCTCATCGGGCCCCAGTCTGCCATTTTTCTTTCCCGTCCCCTCCTGCCTTTGTCAAGACCATCTAACTTGGCCCTCACTGTCCCTACGGTCACATCGTCCAACTCGATCTGACAATCGGGACCGCCATCGACGGACTGCACCACCCGATCCTTTTCCCCCCTGCTAACCAACTCTGACATCTTCGACGTGCTCGTGGTGATAATCTACTGTGAGTGTAAGCCCTGGCGCTGGGCAATACCCCGGCGACCACCACCCTGCAGCTCTGCATTTGCAAGAATGGCCCTCTGGGATGCACGCAATGCCCGCAGCGGATATCTCACCCTTCGGAAGGGTAGGCATGCCTTTCAGTGTGTCGCACACCACCCACCACCCACGAGGGGAAGGAACTTGCCAGCGCAAGGGGAGGCCCCACGGTCCGGAGCGGCCATGCGAGGCGGACGTGGCGATGTGGGCCTGAAGCTCTGTCAGTATGGGGTATGCTTGGATGCATGGGGGGCGGGAGGCGGGGTCCTTGGGGGACCTCGTGATTTGATTTCAGTATGGCACCCTTTCTTCCACCGGTGCTCTCACCACGCCACTCGCAAGTGGCTCGTCGGGTTCTATTTGGATGTAACCAGCCCTGCCTTAGTGGGCTGTCGGTGGGATGGGGCACCTGGGTACTCGGGAGGCCGCCATATGTGCGGCAGCGTGAGCGCTCCCCGTGGGTGGTTGTGGCGAGGGGTGGCGGAATCGGAGACTGCAGGATGCTGAGAGGGGGTGCTGAGGGCCTGTCTGACGTGCTTGTTATTACTCTGCATGTACCTTGCTGTACGGAGTCTAAACATCGCATTCAAAAAAAAAAAAAGGATGCCACCACCAGCCACTTTACCTACTAGAATAGGTAAGTGAGCCAAATAGGGCACGCACGTGGTGGCCTCAGGCAGTCAATGGAACAAAATAGGATCTAAACTCCTCTTCCAATAGTTGTCTGGGAAATGAGCTGGAGAACAACGCCGCATGTCAAAAGACCTCTCCTTCTCTAATACGAGTATTGATATCACCGATATTCTGACATCGTTAGAAGAGGCAACTCCAGGAAAATTGGATTCTGGACTGTGTTGTGTGGACTCTCAGTGAGGTGTGGGTCACTGTTGTCAAGGGAATTGCTTAGTTATCTAAAGGTTGCATGGGTTAAATGACGAATCACAATAGGTACTTAGAACCTTGAGGTCAATACTCAAAATAGACACATTTGAAGATGCATGTTCAACTGTGGCGTGCATCGAAGAGCGGTTGAGAATGCTCCCCACCGTGCTCCAGTAGCGTGCAACCACTGCCATCAGAGTATTTGCGGTCAACCGTGATCGAACAGGATGGTCTGCTCAATGGTTGCGCACATCGCTTCACTTGCCGCACACAGTCATCCTATACAGATGTATGCAAACGTCCTCAGTGACTGGCTGGAAGTATTCTATGGTGGTTGGCCGCTCCCATCAATGTTGTGTCTGCTAGAGAATGGATGTATAAAATGCATGAAATCCCCAGCCAGCCTGAGCTAGACTAGACCAAGCATTCCTGTCTGACAACCTCGATTGAGTGCTGCAGTGATGAGGCTGCTCCTCACTGGTGCCACTGGCATTGGTGAGTGCTCTCGCAGCCTGCGCGCCGTCCAGGTAGCAGCTGACATCCGTGCACACAGCGGGTCTCGCTATATATCGCACAGCCCTCGCTGATCCCTTTGTTCGCCACATCACTCTCTTGAGCAGACATCCATTACCTTCATGGGCTGTTCTTCCGGAAGATGCACCCTCTCGCACAACCATGATCATGCACAACAACTTCCTGAAGTATCCTCCAGATGTCGCCCGCCAGCTTGCAGCACATGATGCATGCATTTGGGCTCTGGGCAAGATGTCCGTTGGGATGACAGAGGTGCAGTATACTGAGCTTACGCATGGCTACACAATGGCTGCTGTGTGGGCTTTGTGCGACGTGAGTGCGGGCGAGGACAAAGAGGGAGAGCCGTTCTGTTTTGTGTACATCAGCGGGGAGGGTGCTGATCAGAGTGACAGCAGGTGGCTGCCGCTGTTCTCAAGGGTCAAGGTATGTGCCATCGGGTGGGTGAGATGTACCACAGGTCCGCTGAATGCATTCTCAGGGGAGGACCAAGAAGGACCTCATTGAGTTTTGCAACAATTCTTCCAGCATGAAGGCGCACATTTATCGCCCGGGGTACTTCTTCCCTTTGCCCAAATACCCACAAGACAGAGAGTGCCAGTGTTCCGCGAAAAACAGCTTCCGTCCTTGCGCCATCACTACTCTCGCTAATAGAAGATCTCACGCAGTTCACTGTTGAAGTGGCAAAGGCTGGTCGGATCAGGAGCTGTTTCACAACAAGAATATGAGAGGACTTGTGAAGGAGCTTTGATGTACGGAGACGTACATTCGCGTCTTCTCACCAGCACCGTCAACAGGTTGTCACACAACTCTGGTTTGACAGTGGCAAAACAGCGTGCATT